CCAACCCTCTCCCGCCCCCTCTTCAGGAAAGAAAAAGTGATGAGCCTGGCTTCAAACCCACCCTCGTCCGGGGGTGCTCCTTCCTCGGCTTCTCAGAGCAGACAGACTTTGAAGAGGAGTGTGCAACAAGCTTTTGATGGTAGACAACCCCATACCCCATCCTTCTTAAATTAAAACTTTCCAACTTTCCAACAAAGAACATCATGTCTTATTAGTTGCTTATTTGCCGTCTTTTTCCTTTCTTTCATTTTCTTTAAATGAGGTCGACTTGAGCTCTCGTCGAATCATCATTTCCATATTTCACACCATCATGTATCCACAACGTCGAACTCATCAGAGCCACCAAAGTCATCATTCATATTGTTTGTTGTTATTTGAGCTCGCTTGAGCATTCTTACTGACATCTCTTCAGATCCAAGTGATAGAGGAACCGGGCCCATTGGATATCAAAGCAAGGTTCGGGTGATCGACAGGTACAAGGTCATCGGATTCATCAGCAGTGGAACATATGGACGTGTCTATAAAGCAGTCGGCCGTCATGGTCAGCCGGGAGAATTTGCTATCAAAAAGTTCAAACCGGGTAGGTCGTGTACTTCAAGAGATGTCGAGTAACCGCTGATCCATAATTCCAGACAAGGAAGGAGAACAAATCCAATATACCGGCATCTCACAATCAGCAATTCGAGAGATGGCCCTTTGTTCTGAACTTAGTCACATGAATGTCATTCGGCTATGTGAGATTATACTGGAGGACAAGTGTATTTTCATGGTGTTTGAATATGCCGAACACGACTTACTTCAGATTATTCATCATCATACCCAACCGACTCGACATCCCATCCCGCCGGCCACTGTCAAGAGCATCATGTTTCAACTCCTGAATGGATGTCAATATCTACACGCCAACTGGGTCCTTCATCGAGATCTTAAACCAGCAAATATCATGGTTACTTCAGGAGGAGAAGTGAAGGTTGGGGATCTGGGTCTTGCACGTCTTTTCAACAAGCCCCTTCATTCATTGTTTAGTGGTGATAAAGTGGTAGTCACAATTTGGTATCGTGCTCCAGAGCTACTTTTAGGATCTCGACATTATACTCCAGCAATTGACACATGGGCTATTGGATGTATTTTTGCCGAACTACTCTCGCTTCGACCAATTTTTAAAGGAGAAGAAGCCAAGATGGACTCCAAGAAGACGGTCCCGTTTCAACGAAACCAAATGCAAAAGATAGTGGAAATAATGGGGTTGCCAAGGAAAGAGCAATGGCCAAATCTCGTCAACATGCCCGAGTACGCACAATTACAAACTCTGTCGGGAAGCTCACATAACAAAAACGGAGGGTCCAGTCTTGAAAAATGGTATTACAGTACCATCAACTCTCATTCCGCGACTTCAGTCCCTTCATCCAACGCTTCTCTCGGTTTGGAAGGATACAAACTCTTAAGCGGGTTATTGGAATACGACCCCGAGAGACGACTCACAACACAACAGGCTCTTCAACACCCTTTCTTCAGTACTGGTGATAAAGTCTCAGCCAATTGTTTTGAAGGCATGAAAATGGAATATCCCCATAGGAGAGTAAGCCAGGATGATAACGACATTCGAACCAGCAGTTTACCTGGAACGAAGAGAAGTGGATTACCCGATGATTCAAGACCGGTTAAAAGGATGAAGGAGTGAATAAAGATGAACTGAGGTTGAAGTTCGACAAATCGTGTCATCCTTGCATTGCGTGGCACAAAGCGCTATCTCTCTCGGAAACTTCCGCAAGTCTCGGAGACCTACATGAAGTGATGGAACACATGATCCAAGGTTTTCAAAAGAGGGGAATAAGCGCGCCTAATATTTCCTTGATGGAAATATTAGCCATGTCTGAGATAAGAGCGGTGTGACGGTTGGTGCTCCCTCGCCAAGTTGTCTGTGATTCGTGGAGATTTCCAGCTAATCACGTGATAAAGCGAGAGAGAGTGCACTGCCACATCTGCCACTGCCACAATGGATACCGTCAGCCAAGACCCAATCACTTACGTCATGCGATCGTATTGGCTCTTCCACCATTCGATTCCAAGGTTGGGCTCGTTGTCGTGAATGGTTTAAACTTTGTGGCGGGGAAAGGGGAAAGGGATATATATCCTCGTACGTCGCCTGAATTCTCGACCTTTCTTCAAACAATACAACTACAAAACCTCCATATCACATATCATCACAAACTGCAATTTCGCAAATAACAGACACACCTCCTCATCTCAACATACAACACACTTCAACATTTTACACCAGCACAAATCAAACAACATGCCTTTCTTTTACAACAAAGCAATCGGAGGTCGTCGTGCTGGCGCCCATATCACTGCTGATCGCCATGGTGTTCATCGACCCGTTTGGAGAATGAGACTCTGTGGATTCAACTGCTTCCGTTAGAGCTGCCCGTATTTCTGAGGCTGTGGAAACAAAGATGAAACGATGGATGGAGACGAACTCTGTGGCTTGGACGCGCGAAGGAGCGGGGTCGATTACCGGAGAGATTTGTATGTTGTCGACCTTGTGATGATAATTAATGATGAGAGCATGTGATGCATGATGGCGTTCTTGGGATGAGGAGTTGATGGCAGGGCTGGCATGGTATGGAGCGATGGATGGTTAACGACTGCTTTGGGTATGGAAATGTGGAGTGGAGTGTTTTCGGGGACGAAGCAGCTTGTTCGCAGAGCAGATTCGACGGCAAGAAAAATCCAAAAACAAATTTGCAATCCGAACTATTTCATGCTTTCTTTGACTTGTAGGTAGGAGTATATTATGTGATATGCAAAAACAGTGAACCTTGAGAAGTGATTGTTTACCAACAACCAATACAAGTATTCCCAATGGAACTAATACAAAACACCAGTCTAATATCGCAAGTAATCATTTGACTACAAGTTTTGTCTAAATATACAGAATAATTGTGTCTGTATTTATCCTAAGCTATACTCTATTTATATCCATATCCATATACCTTAGAACACCATTGTAATCGCTGATCTGTACGTTATTAATTAGTCTCTATATCCATTACTCTTTGACTCTTTTTCTCATCTCTGTTTTTTCTCAATCCTCATTCCCTTCTATTCCTCGCAACCCAGTTCATAAAACATCATCATACCTCTTCCACCATCCCATTATGACTTCCTTTTTTTTTCTCTCACCCTACTCCACCCCATATTCCCAGCCTCCATTTCCATTATAGCTTGTAAAGATGATAAATTACCACCATCCGCCCTTCCCAACGTTAACCCCTTTTCTCAAGATCCCCCTACCACCTCCCACTGAACCTCTCCCCCCTCGCCCCCCGAAACACCATCCTCAAACTCTCCAATTCCCCCTTTTGGCTCTCAAAACTGTCTGTTAGATGTGTCTTGAATCCAAAATCCACGCCCTCATCCACCTTGTTCACTCTCCCAACTTCTTGACGTTCAAACCACGCATCCCATCCTTCTTTTCCAGTTCCACTTCCACTTCCGCCTAAAATATGACTACGAGCAGATCTAGACACGGGACGCAGGTCATACTCCGCAATCCGGTAAATCTCCATTATTTTCGCGCGGATGGAGGGGCCTAGATGATGACCATCTCGGACCAAGATTCGGATCATGAAGGTGCGGAGTTCGCCCAGTTCTCGGAGCTCGGTTTCTTTTCTGGTGGGGGTGCGTTGGGGGTGAGGGCGCGGGGTGGGGTGAGGAGGGTGGTGTCGTATTGCGAGGCGCTGGGTCTTTGGGATGGGTGGTGAGTGGGTGTAGGTCTGAGGTGGTGAGTTGATGAGTTGGGAGGTAGTGCTGGCTGATGGGTGGGCAAGAACGTGTCGGTTTGAGGGTCCCCGATATATATAAATGGTGTCAGAGTATAAGATCCATCTGAGAACCGTCTGGTACAGCCTGGATTCCCCGCGAGATAGAGATCTTCTCGTCCTCCGAGTCCGAGTCGAGAGTTCCTGATGCTGTGGAAGGGATTCCAACCCTCGCCCCTGGGAGTCCTCCCTCCTAACGACTTGTACCGAGAAGGTGTTCTATAAAATCGCCCCAGGAACTCGCCTTCTGGCGGCGTGAGAATTACTGTTACCTGGAGGGATTGGAAGATTATGCGGGAGTTGGCCATGTTGAGTTTCGCTTCTCTTTTGGGGGGTTCTTGTTTTGTTTCTTTCGCGGATTGGGAGTGGATTTGGATGTTTGAGCTTGTGGAGAGCTGCTAGATTTCGAAGAGGACTTGGTTTTGGATTTAGACTTGGACTTGGCTCTTGGGACGGTGCCTGATGAGATGTAGGCGAGGATTGCTTTTTTGTATTCTTCTGCCAAGGAGGGATCGGAGAGGGGTTCGGTAGTTGAAGGTCGTGGTTTTGATTTCGCTTTTGAGATTGTGGCTTTCGAATCTTCATATGTGGGAGATTCCAGTTCGAAAATATCTGGTTTCAAGTCTACGGTGGCGGTGTTGACAGGAGAACCAGATAGCGGCGTATTACTCTGGTGGGAATTGATGACTGGAGGATCGATGTAAAACGGATGTCGACTTTTTCTCTGCAAGTCTGCTGCTTTTCGAAGGCGGGTGAGCCATGATGGTGGCTCGTCTATTTTGGAGAGTTCTTCGGCTGAGGGAATGGTGTTGATGGTCGTTGCATAAGTGATTATTTTCAAATCCTCGTCTTGCGGTTGTTCTTCCCGGGACTTTTCTTTGAGATTTTTGGATCTATTGAATGGTTAGTTGAGTGTAAGCACGTAGGATATAAATTGAGCTACTTACGGGGCCTGTGTGGCATCACATAACCAAAATAATCGCGGCATGGATCATAGATCTTTTCCAAAGCTGCAAGTTTGCTATAGTTTCCAGTCATTGATTGTGTATTAGTCACCAAATTGCAATCAATTACTTTCGTATTCTTTCAAGCGACTGAAGAAAGTATGATCCTTGCCAACATCAAGGTCAAAACCCATAGGGAAATGAGCTCTGAAGGCAAAACCGACCTTACTTAGGATAATCATTCAATATGCACTCTGCAATGCACTCTGCAATTGAAGGTCCCTTCATTCTTTTTCTTCGCATTTTCTTTTCCAATGGGAAATACCGGAGTGCCTGAGACATGGCACCCGAAAGGGATAGAGCTGAAGACCATGAGGCTGAAGCGACCGCTCGGATCGCAAACGAACCCAATTGGAGATGCATGATCGGAAAACAGGTGATGAATTCTTGGTTCCTTTGGTTTCCTTGGTGCGGTTGAGTTGTCATGTTCATGTCTGCAAATGCATGCGCGATGTGGACGCGTTTGGTAGGCTCGGCTCGTCAATATGATCAGCGCGTGTGGAAGTTGGCGGTCAAGTTGGTGTTCGGTACTCTTTGTGATCAAGTTTATCGGATGGCTTTTTAATAGAATCCCGAAAGGGTGGTAGCGATGTATGTCTTTGGCTGTCATCATTATGTGGCTCCGCTGTGTACGTCAAAGGTATACCCTGCCCCTCCATTAAGCAGGGGACCTGAGCTTATTTTTAAGATTTCGGTTATGAGAGGCTCCTTATCTGAGTTTGTGGCTACCTTTTGGTATTCACGAGGCGTTGGATCTGTTGAGTCACTGGATTTGATTCGGAAAATGTTGCTTTGTACGCCGCTGTACTTGATTAGCAATTTCTGGGTATATATTGGCGTGTTCTTGTGCCTGGAAGAAATTGATGAATATGTAAGGAGGGTGAGTGAATACCTTCGAAGGCTTCCGACTTCTTCGATCACGTTGCAAGTTGAATTGTGATGGTTTTGATGATATGATAGTCCGTCGATTTTTCTGAAGAACCAATGTCAGAATCCGGTATAATTGATTCTCTTTCACATGGCGAAGGTAGACTCACGCTGATAACATGGCTAATTGTATTTGAAAGGTGCGGTTGCTCTCTGCTTTTCGTTGTTTGATGCTTCTGCGAATCTTTTCCCGAGCAGCCATCCAAAGCGCAGCTGAGTTAACTCTGGATACCTTATTATATCTCATATCATTACCCCCAGTAACAGACACAGCACTCTCCTCTAATTTTCGATCCATTTCGGACAATTTGTCGAGAGACTCCTTGTAAAGTCTCTGGAAATATTGAAAGTCCCCCGTTCCGTACTTTCTATCTGGATGCCGGATTTGCGATGCCAAGTATGCGTTGTTCAACATGGACGTCTCCTTATGCAGGAGCTCTATCTGATCTAGGACGTATGAGACCTCAGCCTGAGTATCTATGGCTGAACGGAGACTGATTGCTCAGGCGTAGAAACCTGCGATCACGGCGCCGACAAATGTGAGGATTCCCGTGATACTTGCTGCGATTGAGAGGGCGCTGTCTTGTGACATTTTCAATTGTTCGTGGCCGAGATCAATATATACAGCTATGAATATACCACGAAAGGTATTGATGGCTTTGATTCCGCTTTTTGAATTTAGGAACCTTAGTACCTGCATGTGAATACAACAATTGATAGGGGCTTTTGGGAGCTGCTGCGCCTCTTCAGAACATAGGTAGTACAGTAAGGCAGCTCTGGAAATACCTGGTGTAGAACAATATTAGCCGAAAAGCTCCGAACAATGAAAACTGGTGAGAATAGTTATGCGAGCGATTTAGGACAATTGAAATCAAGATATCTTTATTTACCTAAGTGATTTGGGACAACCAAATTGATTGTGTGAGGTATTCTAGCACAATAGATTATTAATTTTTGTAACCTCAGCAGGCAACCACGGGCATGAATGACCTCGGTATTGCACAGCCATTCAATGTGACCCAAATATTTCCACAGCGCATGGAAGCTCCGGGAGAATTATGGAGTAATATGTAGATACCCGTTGAGAGTAGTACGAGCCTCATAGCAACGACTGCAGAAGAATATAAATTAGAGCGTTGACCAACACTTTTTCCCCGCTGACTTGAACTCATATCCATCCAGACCTTGGATCTTGGTGCAATCGAGGCAACTTTACAATTCAAATCAATCCATTGTGGTGTTTTGCCATCGTAATTGTTGGTCTTTGGTGAGATTCGTACCAAATGTCATTGTGCCATGGTTTTGCTCCACAGGAAGGTCTAATGATCGCCTCAGGGATGCTGACGCCATAACAGTAGCAAAGTTCTACTTCTCCGTAGTCCATTCCATACACTCAACCATTCACCAAATGGCTAGCAAAAGATGGACACGTGGATGGGTTGGGCGTGAATCAGAAGATATGTCATTTGTTTCATTCACCACTGAGAAGAAAATCAGGACCACAAATGAGTTGCTGACAAGGAAAGGAATTGGATAATAGTTCCTGCCAAGGCGGCATGAACCTTGTTTTTGAAATGTCAATCAGGAACCTCCCATCTTTTGTTTTTTGTTTTCATTTATAAGTTTCTCCATATATCTTGTTTGATATTATGTCTCTTTCCCTACAAGAATTCATTCCATTGGCTACCTAGGTACGTACTTATTTTGGTTGGCTTGCGAGTGGCCTAGTGGCTTGCGAGCCCCCAAAACTTCACTGAAACATGTGTAGGGAGGCCTGTTGGTTGTGTTGTGTCAGACACTTCGTAAGCATAAGCAGTTTTGCCTTTATCAACGTGAATCTATTGTTGTCAACCTTCATATATAACACACAGAGTGAGAATGTTGCTTTTTATCACTCTTTGGTTGCTATGGTGCGAGTTTACAATTGAACAGTTACCGCTATCTCGTACTGCAGAGCATCTTTGAGCAGCTTTTGGCCTAGCCCCTTTTGGCTTCAAAACTCAAGCGACTTTCCTTGATTTCAAGCTTCCACCTAACACAGTTTTTCCTATTACCGTCCCTCCAGAAGTTTTCTCAGACTCTTTCATCAACTATTGTTTTGCTTGTGGTCTGATAGTGGGGCTCTTATAAGGTTTACTTTTGCCCCACTTCGTGAGCGTGTCGGCACGGGTAATCTCTTCCATCCGCGTCGATCTATCAACACCACAACCCCAACATCAACAACTCAAGGCAGGCGCAATCGTCGAAATGGCAATCTCAATGCCACCCCAAGATGCTGCTGATAGCCATCCTCAGGCTGTCGCCTCTAGCGAGCTAAGCGAGGTAAACAAGCCAGAGGTCGTTACAAGTGGACCAGCACCAGCTTGCACTATCGCCCCTGCACCACCACTAAAGGAACCGACTGAAGAAAACCACTCCCTCGCACAAGAACGTATTGATCCTACTGCAGAGTTTGAGGGGGAGGTTGAGACCGATAACAGGCTACCAACGCAAAAAGTTCTGAAGGAAATCGAAGGAATGGTTGTTTTGGACCAGCATGGCAAGACAGTCCCATTCAAAGACTTGTACAATGGACCCAATGTTGCGCGCAGAGTTCTGATCATCTTTGTCCGTCACTTCTTTTGCGGTGTAAGTTAATTTTAATCGTAATCCAATGCGCGTCTCCAATACTAACTGATCTCTAGAACTGTCAAGAATACATCCGAACTCTCACTTCCTCAGTCACTCCAACCGAACTCCTCCAACTTCCCACACCTACCTTTATCGCTATTGTCGGTTGCGGCGACCCATCTTTGATTGAAATGTGGTACGAGCAAACAAAATGCCCATTCCCATGCTACTCCGATCCGAACTATAAGCTATACAACGCGCTAGGCATGGCGAAGACATTGAACCTCGGTCCTCGCCCAGAATACCAGCGAAGAAGCCTGGCCACACTAATGACAGGAGCAATCGTCCAAAGTATCAAGAAGATGAAGGATGGCAAAGTTTTGAAAGGTGGTAGTCTTCAGCAAGTAGGAGGAGAGTTTCTATTCGAGCCGATTAATGCTGCCACACCAATCAACAGTCCAGCAATTGATAATAGTGACAAAGGAAAGCAGCTTGGCGAATCTGGAGCGAACGGGGACGTAGGCCGTGGAGGTTATTTGGAGGAGAAGCGGGTGGCCTGGTGCCATCGTATGAGAACCACCAGAGATCATGCGGAGATCCCTGAGATACGCGAGGTCCTTGGCCTATCTGGTCAAGGTGTCCCCGGTAAGGACGCTAAACGCTGGAGTAGAGCACTCATTGAGCGCAAGGGAACTGGTCTCGGTGCCATGAGCAGCTCAAGCAGTGCGAGCAGCAGCAAAGCTGGCAAACCAAGTGCTGATACGACTAACGAGGGATGAATCATGCTTTTGTAGTTGGGTCGCTACGATACCTGGAGTACAGGAGTTGAACCGGAAAATTTGACGCCAGGGATAGGCATTTGGAGCACTATACATTTGGTAGGAGGCGTTCTGGATCTGTAATTGGCATATTTCAGCGCCCATTCCTATTCGATTAGGTCATCAGAGTTAGCGGTTTCGATAATGAAAACGTTAAACTCCGAGTTCTTTCTGGCATGTTTTTTGATCTGTAAGTGATGTGATTATTATTTATTTTGATTAGAATCTTTGCTAGTAGGTATTTGCCTAGAGTATATCTTCACAAGTATAATATTTCCGTTTCACAAGAGCGAAACCTCGAGTCTAGTAAAGCCTTTCCTGATTCGAAAATTCAAGCGTCATGCCTAAGATCAACACCCATTATTGTCCTAATGATTTGAGCTTATAAAAAACCGCAAAACCTTCTATTAGCAGTGTCCTTTCATCACCTATGCGTAACTATCACTTCTGCCTACTGCACATGTCACTGTTTCTTTCCTTCCTCACATACAAGTAAATACATGCTGTTTCCCACATACCTAGATATTTGCACATTTGCAAACAGAGTTGCCCAATTGAATAGTCTCGCAGTCCTCTCTATTTCAGTTTAGCTTCTACATAGGAAATGATGAGATACTGAGATAAATCTTTGCTCTGTATGGACTAAGTGGAGAGTTGGTAACTTTCATCATTGAATTGACAAATCTTAGAGCAAGTCTCTCGAGGTGAGATACAAGACCTATAGGCATGTTTTGGATCCATATATACAATTGGTTTGAGGCAAGATACTACCTTCTGGGAAAGACTTGTAACTTATATCTAGAACTAATTTGACTCTGGAAATATGTTGTCTGGAATCAAGTGTGGTTTGTTTTAAGTACAGACGTATTCTGAGGGCTATTTCACATAGAGTAACTCTAGTGGGTTTTAATTATAGGACTTGATAGAAGAATTGATAACATGGTCGTTAGAGGTATATTTTGCTGCTGAACAGTGTCTATAATCGTCTATATTCATATTCCTAAATCAAAAGCTAAATTGGAATCTTTTAAGCCCAGTTTCATGTCTTCTCAGGGGTAGTCGGTCAAATTAAGTGATAAACAGTAGAACATAACCAAATAAATAAAACCACGGTGGTGTTACTTCTAAGCTAATGTATTCACATATTCTACTTAACGATAAGCTAACAAGAGAACGACTTGCAGATTCTAAAATTGTTGTAGGTCTGATTATGTGACTCTGGTGCTTCATTTGAGGGGTAAGCGCCGCTCTTATTTGCCCCCTCGCTTAGATCCATTCACCTTGGAGGAGAGCTCTACATAGAAACCCCTGCACCTTTCACACTGACTGACGGGACCATCAGGTCCTATACCCATACATCCCCTTTGCAATGGAGCAAGGTGCGCAAGCGTAGGTTCTATATCTAAAATTGCGAGACTCAAAGCATTGGTTCTCAAAACAGAGCCCACCAATGCTAGGTTAATGCAGTTTAGTGACATGCCTAGGGAATTGAGAAAGTAGACTGGAAATCTGAGCTTCTTTGTATGTCGCATTGACTGGTGACATACAGCGAGATTTGGCAAGCCGCTTGCTATGTTCCAACTGTCCACCTTGTTCGCCTAAGCGACCAAGTTCTTTGTCTCATCTCCGATTTTCACGCTAAGCACGCTAGACTGACGCTAGCGTTATCGGAATCCGATAAGCTCACAAATCACGGCATCCAGACGTAAAGGTTTTTATCTTAATTTCCCTGTTATTTGCTTGCCTGCTTTTCGCCGATCTATCCTCAACCCCACCTCCGCAAGACGCTACCAAGTCAAAACCGACATGACAACTGCTATTCTTCTTGGTACCAGACAGCGATATCATGCCAATTCATTGAGCTAAACCAGAGGTCTAAGACCATCTCTTGATTGTCGCATGTCAAGCAGTCTTGGTACGATGCTGGGTCCTGCTCTCAGACTGCTCAAGGCCACAGGAGAAGCGGATGAGACACTGTCAGGCATGGTAAGTAATATAATTCCCTTGCCCTAGACTGCCTTCTGAAGACCAGCAGAGAAAGTGTTCACAGTTCTCGCTGGAGAACTCAACGGTGACGCAAAGTGTGGCATCGTCGCTGGGTGTTCAGATCGGAACGGATTGAATGAACTGATCGACAATCAACACCAAGCAAGCATCCATGGAGTTTTGCGATAGCCCAGACCTCAAGAACTGGCCCTCTGGGATATGAATATCGCGCACCACAGATCATCCTTGGTATGTCACCCCCTTCTGAGATCGACATTGGTTAGACATACTCACAGATTGACCAGACAATCGGTATCGTTACGCGAAAATCTACCCCTATTGGCAGATTGAACTTTGCCATTGAGCAGAAAAACGCAGCAGAAGAGTATGCCTCCACCCATTTCTACAGCTCTTACCCTTCTAACTCCTTTCAAGGCAATCAATCAACCTCCCAAGGGCGACCACAATGAAAGGACATCCGTCACAAGTGTTGTGAGCCATTTGGCTTTCCTGAAATCCATTTCAATTCTTCTTGTCCCACTATGGGCGCCCTTTTTTTTATGACAGCAGAGGGGCTGCCGTGACAACACTCAGACCCGAACTTGGGATACTCTCTCTCGGATATTTTGAAATATGTTCTTTTGCACGATGCGTCACCAATTCCTCAGGTCTCTTTCGGATATTTTGAAATATCTCCGTTGGCGTGGGTCTCAAAGATGCGTCACCAATTTCTCGTCCCTTTCGGATATTTTGAAATATGTCCTTTTGCACGGAGCCGATGACCAGTCGTGGGGTTCGCATTGGACTCTACGGAAATGAGATTTACGAATTATCCTCTGTCGTCCTTGCTCTCGAAGAAGCTAGCGAAAAGGGTGAATATAGCGTCCGTCGGTGTGCGGTCGGCCATGGCAAAGTACTGTACAAGTCTCTGTCGGATATCTTGAAAGCTGTTCATTCGTCTGCCAGCTGCGCGTTCTCTTGCACTCGCGATTCCCTCATTCCCGACCTAAGTGTACATTCAGGATGCCGTACCATTTGTATTCTTCAGCAACCCGGATACGGGTCTGTTCTGTTCTGGATGCGATTCCAGCTCGATGCGGGCGCGAGAGTGGTGGTTTTGGCCTTCTTCAGAGAGGCCATTCGAGACCTGGGCGCACATCAGCCAGAAACCCCCTCCCAGAAAAAGACATCCTGTACCTTGATGACGGGGGGCGGTGGGGTGCCTGAGTTCAAAGAGCTAGCTAAAATGCAATTGCTCAGGGCAAGCTCCTGGCTCCTGGGTGAAGCCAAGAGCGTGGCATTTTACCGCGGACCGATCTTCAAAGAGGTTGCGATACTCGGCGCTGCAGTAGATTTTATACTGCAGCCAACTTCTTTGAAGATTGGTCCGTGGTAGATAATGACGGGGGAGTGGAAGGGGAGGAAGGGGGGAAGGGGGGAAGTAGGCGAAGGGGGGGAAGGAGAAGATGGGGAGGGCAAAACGAGCCTGAGTTCGAAGAGCTAGCCAAGGTCTTTTCACCCAGACCTCCAAAGTCAAGAGAGGAGTGAAAGGACCCGTCCGTTGGCCCAAAGCAAGGGGTCAACGATTTGTGCATCTTGCGTAAGCCATCAAACAGTCTTGTCCAACTCCACCACGTTGATAAATTCACTCTTACTCAGTTGGACAAGAATGTTTGATGGCCTACGCAAGATGCACATTGATCCAGAGCGAACCAATCGCTTTGAACAATATCGTCTCCTCCTGGTCTGAAATCTCATCAAGATTGTCGTTACATACGACGGGGGGTGGGGGGTGCCAAAAAGAGTACTACATTCCAGGGGAGGGTAGAGTGGTGTTTGAGTTGCGATTGTAGGATTGTGGTGTCATGGGTCTTGTACGAGTACTGTAATTTTAGAAAAATGTATATAGAATTTGTCAGCTGGTGAGAATCTTGGAAGGGGATAACAGATTTGTTTGACATTACGCATTGTGAGATCTCTTGTAACGTCTTTCATAGATCATTGATTATCACGTCAAATCCCAATCGCCTCTACAGTCCAGATTCGGTATTTGATGAAACCAAAGATTCAGTAAAGCGTAAACTCATACCATATACATACAGGACCCCAACACACCAAACACCCCACCCAAAACCTACCTACCGTTTAGAATTCCGTTCCGCCTTCCCAAAGTACTCATGAACCCTCGTCGCCCACTCAGGCAACGGTGGCTCAGGCTTCGTAAACCCACTCGCCTTGAGAAGGGTATTGAACTCCAACAGCATCCTCTGAGGACTCGGGCGATTATACGGACTCCAAGCCGTCGCAATCTCAATAGCCTTCTGAAGCGGCCTTGAATACCTAACCGAAATAGTCAGTTTGCCTTTATCTCTTCGTGGCTGTTGCCCCGCAACCCAAAGGCTGGGATCGACTTTCATGCTTCCGAAACTGAGGTGACTCAGATCCTGGTCGGGGTGTGGTGCGTTGCAGAGGACGAAGATACATGCTCCTAGGGCCCAAAGATCGGATCGTCTGGAGTGACGGAAGCCAGTGGGAAATCGTTCTCGTGGATCTCGAGGGTAAGGATCCTGGCATAGTTCGGGTGCGAAGAAGGCTGATGTACCGCACTTTCCTCCGCTTTTCTGGGCGTCATTTTGTAGGGGATGGCCGTCTGGATATTCGAAGCATGCGAGTCCGAAATCGCTGAGGACACAGTAGAAGTAATTCTTCGTTCCTACTGTGCTTCTGGACCTGAGAAGAATGTTGTCTGGCTTGATATCTCTATGTAATATCGGTACCCATTTTGGATCTAGCTGGGCATCTGGATGCTGTGCTAACGACACGCCAATCTGGAGAAAGGACAATGCATCCAAAAGGCAACCAAATACGTGCCACGCGAAAGGCTCCGGAATTCGTTGTACAGGCTGTTCGTTCCTTTTGCAATATTGCCTGATGAGGTCTCTAAGAGACCCTCGATCGCAAAACTCCATAAAAAGGGATGCACACGGCCGTGGTCCCTGTTCTACTATAAAAGATGATAAGTAACTGGTCATAGACGCATGTCTGACTTTCCGCACAATCCCGATTTCTTCTTTGGCAAACTGCAATAAGTCTGGAGGAAATTTCTTCTCAACCTCCAGTCGCGCTCCTTTTACGTTCTTCAGCCGAACCACAAACACACCCCCATTCATACCACCAATTCCCCCTTGACCATCGTCAATGGTGTGAACGACTTCGAAATCCCTCGAGTAATCGTAGTTCTTGATAGGTGCCCGTTCGAAAAGATTGAGATCTAATGGTCTGCCATACTGATCTCGGTTCCTTCGAGAGCTAGCGGAAGTTTGGTGCTCCTTTGGTGCTGTCTGGGTCACTTTCCGAAGGTTTTCATCTGTATATCTTGGGTCCCTCATTGTCTTTTCTTCGGTGTCGGGATTGTAGTATCGTATGTCCCTGCAATAAAATCCAAGTCAGCGGGATTTCAATCTTCGAGAATAAAAGGCATCCAAAGAAAACTTGCCATGACCCGTTGGGCTTTGTAATAATCTTGGAATAATATGTCAGCTGCGTCTAAACTTGCAAGACGGAGGACAAACCTTGAGATACCATGGCTCCGGGAGTCTTCCCAAAGTCGGGTGATGCCAAGTCCTCTCTGACCCCTTGGTATAGACGACTCGAAGCTGAGCGTTATCAAAGTCCACATTCCATTCTGGAGGTAAGCCTCGGAGTTCCGCACTTATTTCTTTGGCTTTTCTGTTGGTTTCTTTGCTGGCTCCATTCTTAAACATCTTCGTTGGGACAAACGATTTTCTGCGTAATATGGGTTGTCAAATCGTTTGAGTGCAAGGCTAGGATGCCCCTTAAAATAATGAACCCTAATTTCTTCTAATAAATGCACAGTAGAATCACAGCCAGTTCGAGTGATTGCGATGATGTCAAACAAGAGAATAACAGATTGAAAGGGGAGAAACACAATGCGTGTGTGAATGGCAAGTGAGCTGGTCATAGCCAGTCGTAGCCCTCCACTTAACGCTCCCTGCTCTCGCTTTCTACTTCATACACCCATTTACTGCGATCTCGTAAACAGTTTGAAGTTATGAAAAACATAATCTGGAAAATGCTATAGAGAGCTCCATAATTCAAATACTTTGTTCTCCTAATAGTAATGGCATAAAAACTTCATTACCTGTGAATCATACAAAAAGTGTAGAAAAGCATTCACGGTCAGACTGTCTATCCTTTTAGCTTAGGGAAGGTGTCTCAAAACAGCCATTAACGATTGACAGGCGGCGCAAGTATTGAAATTATATAAGAACAAACCACAGCGGAAAGTATGGAGATTGATCCTACGATGTTTGGGCTTTGTAGAGCTCAAGGAGATTATCGCCCTTCAACACCAAGAACAACCACCACGAAAGCCCAGCTTCAGCAGACCATCGCCACGATGACAGGAAGGAATCCCTCAGATATTAATGTGGTCAACAGCCCAAAATGGAAGGGATTTCTGGACTGCAAATCAGAAGTTGAATATTCAGGAAACACGAGGCAGAGCACTAGGGAAGCCAGCAGCGACGAAGGAGATGAATACCAGGAGTCTTACGAAGAGAGACTCGAGCGATGGAAGGCATTTTTCAAGCAACAGCCACTGGGGAGGTGCTTAGATGCGGGCGAGGAAGATGCCTTGATGGGAGAACTTCTCTACGAGAGGCTGTTGGAGGAAGTTCGTGACTTGTACCAAGTTGGAACCGACGTGAGCAACGTCAAGGTTTTGGGAGATAGAACTGAGCTAAGTACGAGGGCTTTCTGGACACGAATTAGAAATGAACTCTGGTAAGTAGCCTCTTGTAATCTAGAAGTGCTCAGCTGATCGCAGTTTATGTTGGCAGGATCGACGACGATGAGATATATCACGAGTGGGCCGACGCTGAAGAGATATATCATTATTGGCCTTGGGTTGATCGAGATGACGAGAGTATAGTAGGGCTTCATAACTTACAACTCGGAAGGCACATAAATCGCTGGTGGAAGCCAGAGAACCCTCCCAAGGTTAAGAAGCCAAAGGAGCCCAAGAGATTGAGGAAGCACACCATTTTGAGGATAGGAATATGAGGTTAAAGGGAGTGGATATATTATGCACCAGAGGCGGCAGTATTGAGAGAGGATTCGACACTGAAGTCTGAGGGAAGCCATGGCTCTATATAGTTAATATATAATCGATATTGGTGTTGTGGACATGATGGATGGTACCGTCTGAGGGAGAGTGAACAAGAACCCTGAAGATACGAAGTACACATGGGAAGCCCCGCCAGAAACTAACCTTATTAGGCCGATACCCGAAGATGCACCTCCCCTACAAACACGTATCACCAGCACCAGGTAATCGATTTGCATGGGAACATTTCAAACCACCAAACTCTCCATCAGAACGTACCCATCATGGATCCATTTTCTGCAGAGGGCGAATTGCTGAACTTGCACAACCACTTCCACCAAGGCCAATTCCAAGAGGCTGTTGATTTTGACACCGCCGGTCTCTCCCCAGAAAATGCCCTCCCCGCCAGAGTTCTGTCTCTCCGCGCCCAAATCGCGCTAGGACAAGCAGAAGATGTTATTGCAGATGTGCAAGGAGAGAAGGAACCAGAGTTGCTTGCTGTTAGTGCGCTCGCCGAGTTAGCCGCTGGCAACGAATCAAAGGCAGTTACATTTGCAGAGGGGTTAGCTAAGGATTCGGGAGAGAATAGTGTAGTCCAGGTTTTGGCAGGAACTGTCTTGCAGGCGGCAAGAAATAGCGAAGAGGCTCTGGCTTTACTCTCAAAACATCAGGGCAATTGTATGTTGAGCAGATCAGCTTGGGAGAGGATTTGGTACTGACTGGATTCCAGTGGAGGCAGTTGCCCTTATTATCCAAATACAACTACAACAAAACCGAACGGACCTCGCACTGAAAGAAGTTCAAGCAGCAAGACGATGGGCTCAGGATAGTTTACTAGTCAACCTTGCAGAATCGTGGGTTGGATTGCGAATGGTTAGTCGGTCCATCTCTTGTATAGAGAAACCCAAGGCTGATTTGAGTATTTAGGGAGGAGAGAAATATCAACAAGCATTCTATGTTTTTGAAGAGCTCGCTCAAGCAGCTGCGACCTCTTCTGTACAAAGCGTCATTTCACAGGCGGTTGCAGAAATCCATCTTGGCCGACTAGACGAAGCAGAGGCAGCTCTACAACAGGCAACAGCAAAAGACCCAAAGCAGGCAGACCTGATCGTCAACAACATTGTTCTGAACACCATTGCTGGCAAGGACACAACAGAATTAAAGAGGTTTGATTTGCCTTGTTACTTGTACAGTCGATATTCGCTAACATTTCGGGTAGTACCTTGACCAGCGTTGCCCCTAACCACCACTTCCTGACCGACATCCAAGAAAAGAGCGAACTGTTTGACAAGGCTGCAACAAAATATTCTGCAAAGGCTGCAGCTTGAAATACCCAGGGATGATTATAATGTGGCGTTTGAGGAACAATGGGATTCACACAATTTTGACCCTCCAAAATGGATATTTCACAACGACTCTACTGAATGTGACCTCAGGTTGATTGTCTTCAGTGAACGTTTTTCTTTCTCTTTATTTCTGTATCTGCCCAAATGGGAAAGAGGTTGTAATGGTTCTTGAATCAGCTTGGCATGAACTTCTTACTTTCCAAGCTTTGAAGGGTGTTAGAGCATCATGTCTCTTGTTTCAGGGGTCGTACAGTTATCTCTCAAGTTTCCTTTCTTTTCCGTCCTTCTTCTTTAAACCATCTCTTTCCATGGTCTGGATGATCCAGTTTATTGATGGTACAACCAATATGATTGGGCTATGTTCTTCTGGGCCAGGAAGCAGGAGGTGAATGAAAATAGGAATCAAGCACCTCTTAATAGAATCATGCATGCATTTCTTCAGCTCCTTTCCCAAATTGTCTAGAACAAGCGATATATCTCCATATTGAAATATTGCTACCAATAATTCTTGTAACAGCTTCGCCTAAAACTGTAATGGTCAAGGACGTCCAGCTTGCCGATATATTGCATTATGGATTTGAAACATGCGGCCAACGTCAGCGATAACCTGGCCAGTTTTGTCAATCCTCACAACAGCTGTGTTTTCGTGACGTGAATTTTCAGCTTTGTTGATCGGTTCTCCTAAATATAAGGATATGGTTGGGAAATAATAAGATCAAAAATTATTCCTCAACAGAAATTGCCCTCATAAATTTTTCTGTGATTCTATTAGGAGATAAAGGGCTCGATACCCTCTTCTCCAGTAGTGAACAACGTAACCTTTAAAATTGTCTAGGACCAAGTCTGACGTTGTTTGGACTTTTCCTCTATTCACGTCAGAACACGAGTGCGAGGTCTTGCGAAGTCTCGCCAGGTCTAACTCTTATCTCTCCTTCCTGTCGCGACCGAACGACAACACAACACTTGATACATCCCATTTCTCAACCATTTCTACGTGCGTAATTGTACAATAATTTTCCTCAACTACTTTTGTACTTTTGAATTCTCAACAGAGAGTTTTGGATGCTCTCATTCTTTCCAATTGGTGGTTGAATGTGTACACTGCCCCACCTGGAATTCCCCCCGCGATCGGCATACAGTTGGGAATAACCCTGATTCCAGCAGGTCCCTGAACAGACCACCAGTTTCCAGCAATTCCTCAAGACATACTCAACACCACCATAATTGTGATCTAGGTGTCGCCTGTGGATTGTGAGAAGTGCCACAGCTATTTCCAATTCTGCATCCAACTCTGGGAGACTGAAGACAAAACAAGGGCAGATCGGACCATCAACAGATATACACCTCCAGCCCTGTGGTTGAACACCTTGTACAACACCACACCAGCAATAGTAACTTGTACAGCGAGGGACTTCTCAGACATTCTGCTGCAGGATCCTTTCAATGTTCATGCAATTCACGACATAGACCCCGCATCATCCACCCACAGCAATACTTGTTCTGCTCGTACTGCATCATCGTCATCTGCAGAATCATTGGGTCCCACATCCCATCCTCCATCCAGCTTCTTCAACACAGCACAGCTCCAGCTTCACGGACGGGCAACTCACGGGTAACATCCTCTCACCCATCTACCGCTGTTGCGCTGCACCGACCAGCCCCTTCCCCTTCCCCTTCCCCCTTGGGCTCCACCCAATACACATCCAATACAGACCCACCAGCTCGGACACTTTCTGGTGTGCTGCTGCCATTCAGCTTGTCAGTGGTCCAGAAAATCAAGCTTCAAGGATTCAGGCATTGAAAATCAATCTCCTTCCTGTTCAGCTCATCCAGGACAACCAGCTATTGGCAGCATCGGGCAGTGCTCTTTTTCTAAACACAAACGTTACTTGGCCCACAAAACCACACCTTAACCCCGAGGACAAGACCCTAAAGGAGCTACCAACCACAGCCTAGAGCATCATCGTACAGCGCCGTAGCCTACCACCCGAACTGCCGCCACTATGGTTCGCATCATCCTCCCCAACCGACTGAAATCATACGCCAGTGGTAACAACAGTCGGAGTACCAGTCCAAATCCAAGTATGAAGAGATCAAACACCTCGGGATCCAGCACGGAAGATACGAAAGTCAATGGATTGGTATTGAAAGTTGTAGCACTGCGGGTAAGTGGATGACGTTGAGTAGATGTGGTGGGCAACGTGCTGATTTAGATGGCACATAGGCCAGAGACCTTGCTGCAAAGGACAAAAGTGGCACATCGGATCCAGTGAGTACTTGTAACCCTTCACAATAGGCGTGCATTCTAATTTGAGCCTTCTAGTATCTCGTCCTTACCCTCGGAGACGTCAAGAATGCGACTCAGCCGGTCCAGAAGACATTGAATCCGGAGTGGAACGTGATAGTCCAATTCCCCGTCACTTCTATCAATAGCTTGCTTCTGGATTGTGTTTGCTGGGACAAGGACCGATTTGGAAAGGATTACTTGGGAGAGTTCGACTTATCTCTCGAGGAGATCTTCTACAATGGCGAGCCGGAACAGGAACCGAGATGGTACACGCTCAAGAGCAAGCGACCAGGTGGAAAGAAGACCAGCGATGTTTCTGGTGATGTGCAGCTATCGTTCACACTCTTTGATTCCACCAACCTATCAGCTACACCAGCCCAAGTAATGGAGAAATTTCGCACGTTGACCGGAGCCGATATTTCAGATGGTAACACACCAACACCGCGAGTTAGAAACAATGGGGAGGGTGATGGAGAAGAAGGCGACGAGTATTTCGATGAAGATGAAGAACCAAGCGACGAGACCGATGATCCTACCAAACCAGAAAATGCTGAGAAGAGACGACGTAAGTTGAGACTTCGTGGTCTGCGAAAAAAGAAGCAAGCCAGTGCCTACGAGTTCAATAGCGAAAGTGAGGTGGTTGGAATAGTCTTCTTGGAAATTGGCAGTATTACAGATCTACCCCCCGAGCGCAATATGACCCGCACATCTTTCGATATGGATCCGTTTGTTGTTGCATCACTTGGAAAGAAAACCTATCGAACCCGTGTTATCCGGCACAACCTTAATCCCGTCTTCAACGAGAAGATGATCTTTCAAGTGTTGAGGCATGAACAGACTTACTCTATTTCCTTCACGTGCATTGATAGAGACAAGTTGTCAGGAAACGACTTTATTGCTTCCACGGTCCTTCCGCTGAAAGAAATAACCGAGACGGCACCCGAGGCAAACCCTGAGACTGGTCTATATGCGTTGAAGGATCCCCCAGAAACCGTGGTGCCCGAGAAACAAAACAGATCCAGATTCAAGCTACCTTTGTCACGATCAGCATCATCAGCGAGTTTAAACAAAACTCCTGGCCGGCCACCTCTAAAGACCTCCCGCTCAACCTCAAACGTACCTTCTAGTGGCAGCAACTCAGGAGCGTCTACGCCCATACCAGGCCTAGCGCCCACATCGGTCCCTGCTGGACTCCAACCAGGCGATAATGTTCCAGCTCCTAATGCCGTTGACGATGATGACGGTGTTAATGGCCGCGGTGACCCTGACTTGCACCCTTTCACTGTCCCAATGAAGCTGAAGAACGCCGAGAAATGGGAGGAGAAGCACAATCCTGTCCTGAGTATCAAGGCGAAATACGTACCGTACCCAGCCCTCCGTCAGCAATTTTGGCGATCGATGCTCAGACAATATGATACCGATGAGAGTGGTTACATTAGTAAAGTTGAATTGACTACCATGCTTGACACGCTGGGATCTACCTTGAGAGAGTCTACAATTGATGGGTTCTTCAAGAGATTCCAAAAAGACAGCCCAAGTGAAGAAAATGGCAATGGCGATTTGAGCTTTGACGAGGCAGTTATATGTTTGGAAGATGAGCTTCTCGGGAAGACAAAACGCCAGACAGTGAGCGAAAAACTTCGAAGTCACATTCCTCATCAGCTCGGAGGTACAGCTTCACCACTTCAACTCCCTGCTCTATCTATCTCCGGCACAAATGAGAATTATAAATCGACTGGTGTGGACACACCTCCCGCTATCCAGTCCTCGGGCGTTGAAACACAAACTGTTGCTGAACTCAATACACCTGGTGAGGAAGGTGAGCTCTTGGATCGTGATGACCTCAACGATAAGGGCGAGGAGCACGTTGTTGAAATTCGGGAGTGCCCAATTTGCCATCAACCTCGACTCAACAAGCGCTCTGATGCAGACATTATCACTCACATTGCCACCTGTGCAAGCCAAGATTGGCGTCAAGTCAATAACCTTGTCATGGCTGGCTTTGTTACATCTAGTCAAGCTCAACGCAAGTGGTATTCGAAAGTCATAACCAAAATATCGTATGGAGGCTACAAACTCGGTGCCAATTCTGCCAACATTCTTGTTCAAGATCGTATCACTGGTCAAATCAATGAGGAGCGTATGAGTGTGTACGTGAGATTAGGAATCCGGCTGCTATATAAAGGACTAAAATCTAAAGATATGGAGAAGAAACGAAGTATGTATTTTGGAAATCTATACGGAATTAGACATGGTCCCTGCAAAACTATTGCTAACACGATACCAGTTCGCAAACTTCTGAAGGGCCTCAGTATTAAGCAGGGTGTCAAGTATGATGACCCAGCTTCTGCTGCGGAAATCGAGAAGTTCCTCGCCTTCCATCAACTCGACATGAGCGAAGTTCTCCTTCCATTGGATCAGTTTAAGAGTTTCAATGAGTTCTTCTATCGCGCATTGAAGCCTGACGCAAGACCTTGCTCCGCACCTGATAATCCCAGAATCATCGTGTCCCCTGCTGATTGCAGATCGGTTGTGTTCAACAGAATGGACGAGGCAACAAAGATTTGGGTCAAGGGTAGAGAGTTTTCGATTGAGCGGTTGCTTGGAAATGCCTATCCCGAAGATGCGAAGCGATATACCAATGGCGCCCTCGGTATTTTCCGCCTCGCTCCACAAGATTATCATCGTTTCCATATTCCAGTGGATGGGGTCATGGGCGTACCAAAGGTTATCGAAGGAGAATACTACACAGTCAACCCAATGGCCATCCGTTCCGCGCTGGATGTTTATGGCGAGAATGTACGGGTCGTGATCCCAATCGATTCAGTCGCACACGGTCGAGTCATGGTTATTTGCGTCGGTGCCATGATGGTCGGTAGTACTGTTATTACTCGCACCGCTGGTGAAAATGTCAAGAGAGCTGAAGAGCTTGGATACTTCAAATTCGGTGGCAGCACAATTTTGGTCTTGTTTGAGGAGGGCGCCATGAAGTTTGACGATGACTTGGTTGACAACTCAAATACCGCTTTAGAATCTCTGGTAAGTACTTTCGCTCGACTAAATTGTCTTCGTACATGCTAACGTTAATATAGATTCGTGTTGGTATGTCTATCGGCCATCACCCAACACAAGGTCAATTCACACCCGATATGCGAAAGAATGAGGAAGACATCTCTGAATCTGAGCGAGCCGAGGCGACACGTCGTATTCAAGGTAGCATCATTGAGCCTCCTCAAGGCGGTGTTCCTGGCATAACCGCGCCAACGGCGAACTTGGCCGGATAGATTCAAGAGATGAGTCAGAAAGTGTTTTATGGGGTGAGGGGATGCATAGACATTCAACATGAAGTGCTCTAGTTGGATGGGAAAATCTCATGTGATGTGTGTACTTTTTTTGTAAGAGATAAAAAGGCCGGCCTTGAGGTCGCGGTTGGGGGTTGGCTTTGTTTGAGTTTGGATTTGTGAGTTGGGAGGGCGGGAGTTTTTTTCACTACACTTCAACTTCTTTCAGTGATACTGGATGTAAGTGAGTGATGGATACAAGAGTCTTGGGGATGGAGAGGAATAACCCTGTACTGGGCAGAAAAATATGCACAGATGAGTTACAGATAATAAATACCTTTTGAGGGAGTAAGTACGTAGGTACCACATCAAATGGAATAGCATAATACGTTCTTTTTTCCCTTCTTTCTTCTCATGTGGTTTTGATGTGCTAGATACCTTTTTCAAGAAGCCCTTTTTCGCCTTCGACTGTGTAATTATGTTACAACAGTAGATAGATGAGTTACTCTTGACAAGCGATTTTTGGAAGGCTATGAGTGAATTTTATGCTGCTTTACTACAGCATCTTCGAAGGGGCAGAGGAGTCGGTGTTGTGGTTTTGTTCTTTCAGTGTCTAGCTTGATTGATTTGACTTTCATGAGCTCACGCTTTCTTGGTGCAGTACTCGTATGGCAATTGTGATTCGACAATAATGCGATTGCCAATTCTGGGACTGGTATGCCAAGAACCCATTTGTCATGCTTATTCAGTTTAAGCTGGGTCGGCTGGGTCGGAATGGCGGGGAGGTACGGAGGGGGGTCTTGGTATACGTCATGTAAGCCACTGTAGATCGGTTGCGAGCTTGAGATGTTTTTGGGGGGTTGTGCATGAAACACTGTTGTATATATATGGTGGGGATTAATGGTAGGAGGGACTGGTACGGAGTACAGTGGTGGTGATGTCGCTCAGCCAGGTTTGGTGAAAGAGGTGTTTACATTTCAATGTTACTGTAGTGATAGTTCTTAACAATGATTGGGTAAGAACTTCTATAGAGTACTGCGGGACTATCCCCTCCGCTATGAGCTCTTTCAGATCTATCCGATGTACATCCCGAATCGCTAGAGGTGGGGAAAACATAAACATGCTGAATAAGGACCTTGTACAGGGTAAATAATGTCGACATTCTGTCTTTGATCGGTACGGTACTGGTAGGTATGCATATCTCGGGGCGCCGCTCGGAGAGGGGATGGCTTTTCCGGAAGGTTGCAGTGGACTAAGAATAATTTGCTTGGCCGCCCTGGATTCGTAGGCTTTTTCACCCCGCCCTGGCATCCTTCAACGGGTATTAAGGTTTGGAAGAAGGTTAAATAGATCGTTGTTGGTCCCCTCTTTTTTTTTCGCTTTGAAGGGTGGTTTTGGGACTTGTGTTTCGATTCTTTTTCAACTTTACCTACCAAGCTACTTGATTGATTTTTTGGACATTTGAATCATGAGGGTTTCTACCGTTGCGGTGCTGCTGTTTTCTGGTGCGGTGAAGGCGTGGGATGAGCATGCCGGGGAGGTGTTTAGTAAGATTGCCGGGAGCTCGTTGAAGTGTGGTTCGGGGGTGCAGACGGGAACGAATTCCTCGGGGGTCTTTCAGGATGTTGGGGGTGGTATGTTTTTTCTTTCCTTGCTATTTTCAGTTTTCTTGAGTGGTGGTGGGGGGAAGGTAGAGAAGGGCTATTTGCGAGATGAGATGAGAAGGAATGGCTAACTGGAGATTCTGTAGTCAACACCTATATCGCATACCCCCCCGGACCCGTTGAATCCCGCTCAAACGCTACCGCGATCCTATATCTGACTGATATCTTCGGTCTGCCATTAGTAAACAATCGTTTGTTGGTCTTCTCCTTCTCTGATACAATTTCGGATTGAGAAACTAATTTGAAACTAGACTCGGTGATTCGCTAGCGCAAGCTGGATATTTCGTTGTCATGCCAGATTTGTTTGCCGGAGAAGCGAGTATGTGTTTCCTTTCAAACCCCTTTGGCTGGTATGAGGCTTTGATTTCAATGCTGATATGAGAAATGTAGTTAAGGTGGAAGAATTTGGAACCCCAGAGTTCAATATGACGGCTTGGTCGGCGAGACATACAGCTGCTGCCGTGGATCCGATTTTGGAGTCTCTGATTACTACTATGCGTGGTAGTTGGGGAGTTACCAAGATTGGAGCTGTTGGATATTGGTATGTCCCCCCTTCGTGAGAGCAAAAGGCTATGTTTGAAGATTGTACTAATGGTTCCCAGCTTCGGAGGAAAATACGTAACCAGATTTCTTGCAGAAGGAAAGGGTCTCGACGCTGGATTCACAGCACACCCCAGTTCCGTCGTGGCAGCTGAGTACGAAGGAATCACCAAACCGCTTAGCATCGCTTACGGACGTTTGTCTCTCCTCCCCTCCCATTACTTTCCACAGCCCCTACCCATCCCCCTACAAACCCCAACCAGTATAAAAACTAAACTATCACCACAATCACAGAACTCGACGGAGCCAACACCCCCACCCAAAGAGCCGCCGCCGAAACCATCTTCCAGAGCAAGAACGCCACCTACCAAACATCGCTCTACTCCAACGCGGAACACGGATTCGCAGTGCGCACTGATATCAGTGTGCCCATGAAGAAGTTTGCGCAGGAGGCGGCGTATTTTCAGGCGGTTAATTGGTTTGATCATTGGGTTAAAGGTTAAGGGGTAGGCTTAGAGCTTGAGAGATTGTGGATGGGATGATGTGAGATGGAATGGATGGGAAGGGAAGTTGGAGGCGGAGGAGGGCAGGGTGTATGTTTGTAAGGAGGGATGTAATGACAATGCTTGTACATAGGTTTTCAACTATTTCGTTATTGGGCATTTCCATGGTGTGTTTTTATGGTCGCTTTTATGAGATGATATAGTATGAAATCTTCTCGGCTATGTAACAGCTACTCCTATGTAAGAAGCGTGCGTTATTCAAGGCATGCCTGAAAACACTATTATGTAGAATTCTTAGAATAACCAACTTGATTTTTCTAAATTGTTTAGACCAGTAAAGACATAGAAATTTAAATGATTCCAGGCTAGCTAGATAGATATGTTCAGGTAAGAACCGCGTCTCTTATTATAAGATGAGAAGTAAAGAATATTGAACAGGAAGTGTGGAATATAAGGGAATCCAGAATTATAGAATAAGAATTGTATTGAATGAACTAAGGAGCAAATAACTAAGAGAGCGAACGAGAACTATGTATATATAATAGTGTCTCCTGAAACCTGGATAAGACCTGCTCCACCTTGGTACATGTGGTGGAAACAGCTGTCAGTATAACCCTAACAACAAAGAGTATAGAAGCAACTAAAATACACAAGACTACTTAGTACTTCTCTAGAAAAAATAATAATCTATATTCTATAATAAGAATAGTAGAAGACTACGTTAAGTATTTGTTTAAAGTAGGAGAATTACATTCCATAATTCCGGCCAACTTTACTTTTTAGACAAAATAGAAGCTTCTAGATTATATAACCTTTGGCGAGATTTAAGTAGTTAGGTTAAATAATAGTATTGATTCAACTTAACTCGAGTAGTAAATCCCTCTAAATAGCTAGCTAACTGATTTATTCTCACGCTTACCATAGCCTCGGAAATAAGGTTCTACTCTCGCTTACCATAAATGTACAAAGCCTGGCTCAAAAAACCTGGTAAGGACGCAATGTGCATTAGAAATCCGGTAAATGTGAATACGGTAACGACCTTGGCAGTAAATAGAGCCGTATGATTTGCAGCCAGTGTCGATCCTGGGCAGAACTTCGTTACAAGCCGAAACACCGAGTGTTGCTTACATATTGTTTAATAGCAAGGGGGATCGGGGCATGGTTTCCACTTTATATCATGCTTAATGCCTTGATAGCCAGGAACTTCTAACCTTGAATCAAAGGATTTGGTCAGAACAAAAGCCTTCACATGAGAATTTTGAGAATGAGAACTGTGTTAAAACATTCCTTTGATTGTAGAATGTAAGTCTGTTATGCCGTTGCATCGTGTGTGTGTATGTATGCCTTTCTCATATTTACATTTCCTTCCCTTCCCTTATACGCCAAAAGCCAATCCCATCTGATATGTACCGGATATCATCAACCCAGGGTATATTTATGTACGCCATCACTACCCAACTCCCAGAAACCCAAAAAGCAAACATGAACCAAAAACAACATTGGAATTTCTCATCCCAAGCAATCACAGGACTTGTAAACCGCGACGTATTGAATTTCCATTCCAGCGTCCGCCCCGGTGGCGGTAGTTGGAGCACTGGCGCCGGGTAATGTCCCTCCAACCGAGACGTTGAGGGTCATGTACATGGCTTTTTGAGCGAGTGCTTTCCAACTCGCCTCGTCGCCGATGTCGGCGCCTTTCTTCTTGTGGTATGGTTGGCCGTCCATGTACCAGATGATGCTCTGTTGTTTCCAGTCGTCGCTTCTCAGGTCAATGGCGTGAGCCCATGTATGAAAAGTTCCGTAGTCAAATGTGATTCCGGCACCCAGTCCAGAAGGATCATGACAGGCGGGACCGCAATGGATAGTCCCTGTGCCGAGAGGTGAGCCGTTGACATTTTCGAATGTGTCTATCTCTCCGCATTCAGGCCATTGGGTACCCTCTCGCATAACTTGTCCTAGACTCCAAAATGCTGGCCATATTCCTTGAAGATTTGACCCAGGCGTGCCAAGCTTGAAGCGAGCCTGAACAATGATCTGTTCACCTGGTTCGGCCTTGAATGAGTCTACGGTGTTGATTTTGCACGATGTCCATTTACCGGCGGAATCTTTGACTGGTTCGATGAGAAAAGTTCCTCTGTCGGTAATTGTGCATGTGGAGGGGGAGTTGATATATTTTTGTTCTTCGTTGTTATACGAATCGCCGGTATAGATGTTCCATTTGTTTGTATCGATGGATTTCTCCGAGAAATCTTCGTACCACACAGGTAGAAATCCATTGACATGTTCTGGTTCTGTCGCGAAAACGAAGGGAAGGAAGGCAACGAGCGAAAAAGCAAGAGATAATTTTGAAAAAGACATCTTAAAAGAATGTGGGGTGTTAAAGATAGTGGTGAGGACGAATCGACAAACAATTAAAAAAGGATCAAGGATGACCTGGAAGGGAAAGAAAGGGAAAACATGACTGAGATGGGATGGGGAGTGTCTTATAGATTCAAAGACTCTTGGAATCATGGTAACCGACAACTGACAAGGTGTGTGGTACACGATGCAAATCGATGAACAAGCACTCGGCGGAGCCACTCAGTGACTTCCACAACTTCCTCATACAAGACCTGAAATAAGCACAAGAACCAGTAGATTGCTCTCAAAGAACCACTTTTGCTCCACGTCCCTATATCAGAAAATATAACTATAATAAAATGTGGAAGAAAAGCGAATCGTAAAACCCGGCCCCGTCCCATGGACATGGTATGGGCAATTTGAAGGACCATCATAAAGCGAGAAACCATGAAATCCCCCACCCGTTGTTTGCGAATGGACTCACTTGGATTGAGCTTCTTGGAAATGGGATGAACTTCGATGGGATTCTCGCTTCCGGAAGTGAATCATGAAACCTGCCATTTATGCGAACTGCTGTTGAGCCTTTTCATTCGCCAGATTCTGGTGTTTGGGAACATAGGCGATGATGACAGGGTTTGGAGCTGCGGCTGGTGGTCTGTGGTGGGTCCGTGATCGCCATTCGTAAACAGGCATATCTATCATCTGGAGGCTTGAGGTTTGAAGTCCGGAGAGCCCCTGAGAAGTTGGAAAGCACGCTGAAATAATCTCGTTTGGTGGTACGAAGGAAAGAGGGAATGTGCAGTCCTCATTGGACAAGCCACTCCTTGAGTGTCTGAAGTACTTGTTGGCAGTTCCAGATTGATATGAAAGTTCCTTTTGCCTAAATGCACAACCAGAACTTGACGATTAATATTGCGAAAATAGGTATCGACAACGGCTACGGCTGGTCAATTAATCTCTCTGGAGATTCTGTGGACGACATGCGATGCGATGCGTTGGCTTAGTGAGCTGGACTTTGCAATAACAAACTACACGTGGAGCCTTCTGGAATGCTCGCTCGAAGACGTAGGTAGAGTGGCTGGCGTGGTATCCTGCGATCTTATTCCCAAGATTGTCTTTCCATGGTGGAAAGAAATTATTGCTAAAGTAGGGTGTGGTGGTGAAATATCTTGCGGTGTCTTGCCGGCCTCACCTTAAGTTCGCCCACACGGTTCATTTTCGATGATCAAAAGCCGTACATATGAAAAGGATGAGAATTTGTACTCGTACTCTTGGTATGAATGGAGTTGTGCCTTCCTTCCCGGCTCTGGTTGCTCTCACATGCTGACACGAGGTCGAGATCAAAGGGCGGTTGAGCCTTCTCAACCTGTACGCTGAGACGTTTGTGTCTTGTCTTATGTCGAAGAACAAGGCCATCTCAACGGGAGACAACAAACCTTTCTCAACTCCAGAACTCGACGAGACATTATTGGCTTGCGAGTTCCTCAGATGAATCGGCTCGTTTACCCTTTCCCCTTTTCACCACTTCCATTCCGCTGAGAAAACACTTGCACGTGACAGGATCCACTCACGTGATACAAACCCCATGAGGTCCTGTCCACGGATTCGGGCTGCTGGCGAAAGAAAATGGCAGTCATTTTTTCTGTTCGATGATCGTGAGTTTATTGAAAGTGTTTGAATTCTTCATATTGGTCGAGTGTTTTAAAATAATCAACTGATTTTCTCTGGATTGTCCTAGCCCAAGGATCCTCGGTTAATTGTTTTGATTTGTCGAAATGGCAGAAACGAAATTTCTGCCACTTTTCTTCCCCAGGAGACTAGGTCATTACCTCAATTCACCTCTAAACCTACACCGACAGATGTGAGCTCCTCCACTCTGCGAATGCAGCAAATCTACCCTTGCAGCAATATTCATCCCCTTCACCCCGCTTCTTAACCTTATCCCCGCACCCCAGACCATCAAATAACCAAATTTAGCCTATGCTCTTTGGAGTCTGGGGTGCATAAGTCGCCAAGACCCCAAACTATTCGCTTGTCCCCCAAAGGGAGATACGACTTCATATATCTTTCTTACTTGATGGGTCTTGTCGATCCTTCTAGAAATTTGCACGCCGACTCGGCCCAATTTCGAACTGCACGAGGACTCATCTCTGGCAGAGCGGATTCGGCAGTAGAGGCGGCTTCCACTCCTCTCATCTTGCTGAGATGTTTTTCTTTTCCATCTGAAATACAGAAAGTCCTCAAGGTTTCGTTTTACTTACGTACCTGCGCGTACGTACCTACGTGCCTGCAGTTTGCGGGTTGCAGAAAAGTTGTCTGTTCAGGCCTCTCCCGATTTTCACAGCTCTCTTTTCCACATTCTTTCTTTAAGTTAGCATCTACAAGAACTTGCTTCTATTTTGGGAATTAAGTAACACCTGCGTCATCCTTTAATTATTCAGAGTATCATCTGGGTGATTTGCTTTCATCATTTTCAGTGATTCGATAGTTCGGATGAGAGGTACTTGGGTCTTTGAAGAAATAGAGTCACCTCCAAGTAATATTTATTGGTGATAGTGGATTTTCAGTCAAATGCCGCTTAATTAATCAATCAACAAGTCGGGTGGCCGGCGATTTCTGCCCAATCATGATATCTTTTATATTATCCTCAACAATCCACATGACAAGAAATCAACAAACAAGTTCTGCCTTTTCGGCAGTTCATCCACATTGGTGGCAAGCGCTGGTCGCACCACGTATAAGGATGCCCACCTCACTTTGCTCCCTTTTACTCATCAGTCATTGCCATTTTTGTTATCAAGTCAAGGTCAAGAAAAAGTGTTTGTCAAAATGCAGTGGGCTACTATCACCGCCGTTGCGCTCCTTGCGCAGAATGTCGCCTCTCAGAACATGCTTCGGTTTGCATGCTCACAACTCGTTGTTGATCGTGTCGACCCTCTCGTCAACCCAGGCATGAAGTACACCCCTCATCTGCACCAAATCGTTGGAGGAAACTCTTTTACCACTGAAATGGACCCCGCCTCATATGACTTGCCTTCTAAGTCAACTTGCACATCGTGTAGCTTCAAGGAGGACTTGTCCAATTACTGGACTGCTGTTATGTTTTTCAAGGCAAAGAACGGGACCTATAAGCGTGTCCCACAAGTTGGAAATGGTGGACCCCAAGGAAAGTTGGTCAACAAAGGTGGTCTCGATGTCTACTATATCCCAAGCGGAAAGACAACAGCATTCAAAAAGGTTCGTTTGTCCGACTGGGATCCAATGGTAAAGCTCTAACATGTTCTAGGGCTTCCGTATGCTTGCTGGTACTGCAACCAACACTGATCCCAACTCTGTCTCCAAAGGAAATATCTGTCACAGATGCTGGACGTCAACAAATGAGAACACTTTCGTTGGTGGAGCTCCATGCAGCGGAAGTGACACTGTAGACATTCCTCAGGATCCCAAGTGCAAGATGATCCGTCAGACCATTATCTTCCCAGCGTAAGTTCATCAGCCATGGTAAGATATATCTTCGCACTCACATTGGTAGATGTTGGAATGGAAAGGATTTGGACAGCCCCGATCACAAGAGTCACGTCGCCTACAGTGGATCCGGAGCATCAGGGGGCGGTGCATGCCCAAGCACACATCCAGTCAAGCTTCCTCAAATCATGTACGAGCTCATGTGGAATGTTTCTTCATTTTCAGACCAGAGCATCTGGCCTGCGGACAAGAAACCACTTGTGTATAGCATGAACTTAGGGTAAGTTTCCAATTTTTCTAGAAGAGTTTAACGTGAAAACCTAACAGGTGATATTAGTGGTCCAGCAGCTCACGGTGATTACCTGTTTGGATGGCAAGGCGACTCTCTTCAAAAAGCAATGGACAACAACTGCAACCTTAACACCGACTGTCCCAAGGCTGGCCTCCATGCCCAAACACCGGCCGTTTATAATGCATGCACTGTTCCGCAACAATCACCAGAGACAGTTGATGGATGTAAGTGGCATCTTAACTTGTGGGGTTTTAGTAATGAAAGCAATACTGACTTCGCCCCTCTAGGGATTGCGGAACTTCCAATGGGATCTGCGGCAAGGGCAGCATGAGATTTCCTCGGGAACGTCAGAAAGGGTTTGCTATAATCATGACTCAGTTACGGTTCCTGTATGGATTGAATTTTCTAGGCAAGCTAGGAAATATGTGGGTGGAATGTTAGACTTGAAAGTTGCTGTGGCAGCTTAACTCAGGGGTTTATGCTAATTCAGCCTCCTCGACGTTCGTTTTGTGTGAATTTTAGACTGCTTGGGCTATAGCTTTATTATCACAAATATCTAGTGTCTCTCTCTCGTTAATATTATTCATTTGTTGTGTATATTGGTATCTTGGATTTCCTGTACCAGATTTCATGTTGGCATATCACCATGTAACTTTTAGATTTGACAACGTGTCGGAATTTCCGTCGAGTGACCCCTGGAATGTAACTTTGATGCTCCGTTAAGCTTCTTCAGGAGAAAGACTCATTAGGTGCTCGAGTTCTCGTCTATAACCCCGCAAAGGCTGGTGAGGCTACATTACGGGCTTGTTGATATTGTATATCCTTTACATGCACCAATCTTTTTTTTGGCATTGACTAAGTGCTTTCTAGCTTAGGTTACTCGATAGATCAAGTTGTGGGGTTTGCTATTTTGTAGGTCATGGTGTTACAATGTCAGATCCCGAATGTCTTTGGGCTGTGTTTAGACCTTTGTAAGGATACCTAGCTATAGAGTGGTTGTTTATAGTGAAATATTAATTAGCAGCCTGGTGTTGTCACCTTCCCCTTACTCACTAGATTATTCAACCTCCTGAAATCTCCAATCGATACATTCTCCTCAAATTGATGTAACGGCTATTCGAATCTCGGTAGTCAAAGCCGTCGCGAAAACCTTTCTCCTTTGACGTCATTTTGTACCTCCACTCTGATGGGTCACGACTCGCCCATTTGGAACAGAAATAAGTTAAGCTAATTTATGAACTGGACATAATTCGCAAATCTTTTTACCCAAAGTCCCAAGAAAATATGCTGCAACCTATCAATGCACACTCGTTTCTAACCAGATCTCGGCTGTCGGCCGGCTATTCACAACCCCTATCAAACATTTGTTTAACCTTCCTATTTTTGTTTCATACAATATACGGGTAAATAAAGAATTACGGTACAGCTTGCTATAGAATTTCATTTTATAGGTCTCCCGCGTCCTGAAAAGTCCTTTTGCCACGCGGAGGTAGACCCAGTTCTGGGGAATTTGGAGAGTGAAAAGATAAGTGAAGTGTCCTCCTTGTCTGCAATCGTGATTCTTCAATATATCTTACACTACATACAATCTTGTTAATATAAGAACTACCTGTTAACCCCCAAGCTGCCTCTCAAGTTGCGCCCTAAAGTAAGATTTTAAATTGAATTAGGCTTCAGTCTGGGTACTTTTGACCCGTGCATCACACGACCTTGAAGTTACTGGCGCAACATCACTTTATATTGTGGCCCTGCCCTGACCTAAAAAGTGTTTCCAGGCCACTGACCGCCACTCCTCCCACGTCGCTGAATAATTCCTGCACTTCCGAAAATTCTTGGAATTTTCAAGGGGTCTAAGTCAAGATGCGTTGGAGCATAGGAGTTGTTTGGGCAGCTGCCCTGATGAGTATTCGTGAGTCTCTAGCTCCTCTCCGTGAAGATCGATGTTGACATGATGTCCAGCAACCGAAGCTGCCGATTCGTCAACTTATTTTGACGCGGAAACGGGCTTTACCTTTGCCCAATTCAATGGATTGTTCCAGATTGGAAAGGGAATATTGTACCGAGTTGCTGTTCCATCGCCAGTTCCAGCAAATGCCTCCTACGATGTAGTTTTCCAAATAGTCGCTCCCATCGCAGTTGGCTGGACTGGTCTCGCGTGGGGAGGTGGTATGGTACGAAGTCCCTTGACAGTGACATGGCAAAATGGACAAACGGTCACAATTGGATCCCGATACGCGACGTAAGATCTTCCTCTCTTCGTTACACATCAAAACTAACAATATGTTAGTGGCCATTCGATGCCATCCGTCTACCCAAACGCCGTCTATACCAAATTTAAAACAGGAACAAAGGTTAACTCCACCCACTGGCAAGTGACCGCCAAATGCAGCGGTTGCTCTACCTTCATCGGTTCAACCAACTCTCAGGTCACCCTCCCACCAAAGGGCGTGAACCGTCTTGCATTTGCGGAGTCGAATTCTAAGCCTGCAACTCCTTCGTCGTCAACCTCAACTTTCAATGTCCATGATGTGACGAATAGCTTCACTGCTGATTTTGCAAGTGCTGGGAATACCGAGTTTGCTGCGCTTGTTGCTAAAAATGGCGAAGCCACAAATTGAGACTTGCGATGGTTCGAAGATACGACCAAGAACAAAATATGGGCTTAACTTGAGCTGATTTGGTCGGGATCACCTGGAGAGGAAGTGAATGTATGCCACGTGTTGAGAAACGGAACTTTTGCTCTGTCCATAGGTTATCTGTACATAAGAAATTTCTCTAAGTTTCAATATGAAGCGTTGTTGTTTATCTTTGAGACGAACATAAGCCATACGCCTCAAATTGTCAAATGGGCGAAAAGAATGGAGGTGTCTAGACAGCCATGATGTATCAAGTTTAGAAAAACCGTTTGTGTGACATCTAGGTGCCTCCCCAGAATACTTGCAGAAGTTTCCCGCTTGCGCCTTAGTGGTTCATGCGGCGTAGCCGAACGCCGGGGTAGTGGGGTATCTTACATACAATATCACGTGTTTTACTTCGATCCAAAGCAGGACACAACTCAAGCGAGATGTACCTGAGTCTCTGTAATTTGCTTTCAGATTTAGGGTTCTGGTAGTAAGCCGTTACCTGCAGATGACGCCTTAGACCAATCGGTCCTGGTGGATAGTGAAATCTCAGTCGGGGAAAATTTATACCGCTGAATTGTATATCCGAACTCGATTATAAGATCCCCTTATCCCAGGGAAGTAGAACTAGAGATTCATCGTGAATCGAACCCTCCCACTTGCAAACCGAAAAAGTTCCGTAATCAAGCTTCGAATCCCCACTCCAATGCTCGCCAAGTTAGCACGGGCAACGTTTACTTCTTGAGGGGGAACCCATTTGTCAGATACCGGTACTATCGGCACACGACCACACAAATCCACCCGTTCAACCAATATCCTCTTCACCTGACTCTCAGTACCAAGCATACAACACGTCACAAATCCCCCTCCACCTACAAGAAAACAATGACACCCCAAGACCTCACCCACGCAACAAACCCCCACCATGCTCGCCCCCTCAAAGTCCTCATCCCACTCTTCAAGAACTACAATACCTTCGACGCAAACGGCCCTATTGAAATTATCGCCCTCGCGGACCGGAGACCGTCAATCAAAGAGAACTCTTTCGCCATCACAGTCTGTGCTTATACTCCCATCATCACCTCCATCGAGAGAGTTTCGATAGCACGTGATATCTCACTTACAGAGGCCATTGATCGGCTAGAAGAATGGGATATTATACTTCTACCCGGAGGTGTAGAGTCTGAAGTTTCTCGAATAGTTAAAGGATGGAGAGATAGGACGGCCGCGAAAGATAGCGAGGCCTTCCTTTTTATGACGCTGTTGGATAGGTATGGAAGGGAGAGGTGGAGCGAGGGGTTAACTTTGACGATTTGTACCGGGTCTTTGTTTATTGGTGGAGCTGGGTTATTGCGAGGGAGAACAGCAACTACGCATTGGGCGGCATTAGGAAAATTGCAGCGACTTTGTGATGGTAAGATCTTTGAGCATGGTGTGCGTGGATTCAATGTTAACCTAAATCCAGAGAGCTCGGATCTGAAAACGAAGGTTGTACGGGCTCGTTATGTTGAATCTGCGAGAGATGAAGAAATGCAGCTGCAGAGGGTCATCACTGCTGGCGGGGTGGCTTGTGGATTAGATGCGGCATTACATTTAATTGACATAACGGTTGGTGCAGAGATTTCCGAATTAGTTGCAACAAGAATGGATTACAGTAGAAGGGGCCCCGAGGTGCAAGAAAACTGTTGAGCTTTTTGATATATGTTTATGACATGTACCGGGTTGCAGTATGAGGTATTGCAATTATTCGGGTTGGAGCGCTTCGCGAAAGGTTCAACTGATGACTCTCTCGAGCCGTCTAGGGTCGATGTATTATATAGCTAGCGATAAGACTTGTAGTTGACGTTTTAAATAGTCTACTACGTAATTAGACTCAATCATTACTCGAGTTGTGTCAAGTTGTTAGAATAGCTAGAATTGAGTTGAGTAGGTGCCTGTAACAGACCTGGCTATTAGTCTATACACACTATAAAAGTTTATTAGAGTAAGCTTTTGACACAAGTAAAAGAACTGCCTTAGAATACCCAGGAAAATAAAAGGCAAGAGTTAGGAATTCTTTCAGAACCTTTATACAACCATTTTAGTTGTGTAAGGCTTTTAGGATAATATAGTTCTAAGAGAGGTTGGTAAGGGGTGATGACCACGTCTATTATTCACCTCAGTCACTTGAATTGCAAACGATGAGTCTAGCACATACTGGTGTTATGGACGTTGACAGGGTTAGTTGAATACTCTTGTTTAGAAACATTCAATAAGGGTATTATATATTGAGAGCTGTTAACCATCCGTAAAATCCTTATTACTTAATCTATATTATAATACCATATCGTAATTATCTATTAGGCTTAGCTTAAGACCAACCAATTAAACCCGCGAAGAAGCCCCCTCGTTGTGAGTAGCATCAGTGCCCGTGGTGTCAGCCAACACTCTCTTGTTCTCCAACTCATCATGTTTGGCATCAAGAGTATTCATCTCATCCTCCTTGGCATCCAAATGATGATAGAGCAACCAGAACAAAACTCCAGTACAGAATGAACCAACACAAAGACCGGTGAAAAGCCACATAACTTCAGGGTCACCAACCAAAGGTATAAAGGCTTCTCCAATAGCGTATCCAAAGGCGTTGGTCAGTAAATATAAAGCCTGGACGAAAGACTTCATGGAAGGAGGTGCTTTCATGTATGCGTACTCCAAACCCGTTACGGATGCAAAAATCTCCGAGATACCAATGAACATATAAGCTGGAGTTTGAATAGCGATATGGATATCGTTTCCAATGTTGACACCGTTAACGACGGAAAGGTCGCAAAGAGGCTCGGCATAGCAGGGCCCAGTTTGATAAATATAATGTTGTAAAACGGCAGCGTACAACATAGAAAACGAAGCGACGATGAAACCGAGAGAAATTCTAGTAATCGGTCGGAATTTGATGTGCGCTTTCTGAAGAGCAGGGTAGACGAATCGATCGAGGATTGGCACAAATACAATGATCGAGATGGGGTCAAAATTTTGCATCAAGTCGTTGGGTATCCCATGACCTCTCATCTGTGCGGCTTGAGATACAAAGTTTCCAGAAAATTGAGAATACACGACCCTGTGTACCTTGTTAGTCGAGGATCTCTGAGAGTTACATCAGAACTAAACTTACCAGTAGATTGGGTAAAAAAGAAAAACCCTGCAGGCGACAAGTGCACGCTTCAATTCGTCGACGAAAAGATCGGTCCATGGATACCGCGCCCCTCCATTACCAAACTCTTGTTGGTATGACGGCTTGGCCGCATCCATGTTGCGGCTTTTGGTCATGATCCAAATCGCCTTGAACGCATCGGTAATGATGGATCCTTGAGGTGGTCTTACGATATACTGCTTTCTCCCTAGTATGACTACAACCATTCCGAAACAGAACATACAGAAACAGAGTAAATCTAATAGAAAGTTAGATTAGTAAAACATTATATAAAGGAGCTCGCTTACATGCAGACCAGAATCCAATATCACGCTCCATGTATGGTGTAGCGAGAAGGGAGAGTGATCCGATATTTATACAGACGTAGAATATCATATAAATCCGTTGAATAGTAAGGGCAGGGTCGATGATAATGCGCTCTCCAGTACCGAGAGTCTGGATGGCCATTCTCTTCCTTTCATACTGATCTGCGATCAGCGGACTGACGTTGGATTTGATACCTCCAGTTCCGATACCAATGACCAGAATCGCTGTAATGAATCCTCCCATGCCGGCGCCATTTTGTAGTGCGATAGGTAGCGAGGTTAGAAACAAAATTAGCAGGCCAACGATATAGACAAAGCCGAATAGGACAATTGCTTTATATCTGCCAATGTATTGATCCGCTACGATGGCACCACCAATAGGAGTAACTGAGAATTTGTTAGCAATAAATTCACATGTGTATACATATAATCGCAAAAATTTCCAGCAGAACTCTTGTTTTATGATATAAATTGCTCGATCCTTTGGTAAATCACAAAACCACAACAGAAAGTTGGGGCCAATGCAATATACAGGAGACCGAGTTACAACATTATCCTAGAAGTCTTACACAATTAAGATAAATTATCATAAGTCATCTGGGACAATTAAGTTGATTGTATAAGATACTCTAGAACAATACATTCTTAAGGCGTGTCCAGTGGGATAGACAAGTCTCTCACAACGATGCGAGATCTTTACAATTCGAATGGGATAAAGGGAGAGAGAGAGAGGGAGAGGCTTACCGTAACACCACAATGAGAAGAAGGTCGTAAGGGCTTATTTTCCTCTTAATTTTCTTTCCTTTCTCTCTCAAAGGGGTGGCGAAGTGGGACATACCTGTAGCAGACATATGACCTTGGCCCAAAGCACCTCGGCCTAAACTACCATCCAGTGGACGTTGAACATAGTTCTGAAAAAGACCTTGACAGCCATAGAATGTGAATCGTTCGCAAAGTTCAACAATAGCAACTAGCCACGCAGCTAAAGGTAAATTCTCGCCGACTGCCCATGATGGTTTAGCTGTCAGAATCACCTTACTTCAGGTCCAAAGTTACAAACCTCTTCTGAGCTTTTGCTTTTCAGTTTCATTCGGCTCGTCGCCATCATGAGTTTCTATCGAGGAGCGAGCTGAGTTCTCTTGTAATGGATCTATCTCTTCCATCTTCCCAGTTTTCACAGGCGACGAAAGCCCCAGTTCCAGGTTGACCTTTTCCGAGCTGATGGGTCGGTTTTTCTCATTGAGCTGCTGTTCCACAACGAGCTTGTTTACTTCCGCGGCTTGCATTTCGTGTTCAGGCATATTGATGGTTGCGCAGCCGTGCGATGGGCAATGTCTTTGGATAACAGAATCTTGAACACAAGACAAGAGATATCTTCCGAAGAGGCACGAGGGGCATGCGTATTTATAATTGAGAATGGATGGGAGATCCAGCTGCAAGTTCCAGGGTGGGTAAATGGGACATGTTACTCCCCCGTTCCTCGTGCCTTGACAAGTAGGGATGGTCTTTCTGGGATCATACGAGTAGGTAATTGATTGGTTTGATAAAGGGTAAACTTATGAGTGGTCCAGGTACTATACGCCGTCAGACTGGGTGTGATCAAGGAAACACTCCTGCCACAGATGTTGGTTCAACCACCCACCCACTATCAGATATGAGGCGTTTGCCCCTCAGTCCTAGTTCCCAATGCGGTATGATGCATTTTTCCTGGTTGCCGAGGTCATCAATTGGGCTGAAGCGGGGACGCTAATGTTTCTCATCCTTCTAGAACGATTGGAGAAGCTGGAAAAAGCCAGCAATAAAGTATGGAGCTAGCGATGGAGGCTTATCAGACCGATGATGTTTCTCTTTCCTCATGGTGAACATGTTCCTAGAGCAGTGCTTTACGGAGCTTGTTGCACTCACAAATCTGCTGTATATTAAGCCGAGAATGGATATCCATGAATTTTCAAGGCTGGAAACAATTTCGATGCGTTCATATCTGTATGGAGAAGGTCTGGGATTGGAAAACCGGGTAAGCATACGTTATGTCGTGCCACTCTGTAAACACATGTCGTGATGGTTTAAAAATGGCGTTGTAAGTATTACCCCTTAAGTTACTCTCGGGGTTCGACAATACTTCGGTGTACCATTTGAGAAGTTCTCCCGTTCGTTCGTGAGTCGTGATCTTCCTCTGCTTCGTGCTGCTCCATGACGAGCGTGGCAGCGATCTGCAGCAAGCCGAAAATCCTTTTTGCTCCATGACCCTTGCTTATCTGCCGTAAGCCAATGAGTATGCACATTCAGCATCCTTGCCATTGCTGCCAAGATGTGGAATTACGCCCGCCCAGGATCTGAAAGGCTTAAGGTCCAGGTTGAGAAAGTGGTGAGAACACTCCGAGTGCCGAAAGGTCCAACAATGGTACATTTTACGGGGCAATTTTGTGGCATGTTAATGAGGGAAAAAGCTTTACTCCGGTCACATTGACTTAGGAAAATTTGAACAGTTACTTTACTATGTCTGTCCAAGTGCCTCAAATCGTTAGCTTGCTTATGTGCAGGTCTGACACCATGTCTGTGTGCGACATTCTGCGCGATTTGCCTGTCAACCGTAAGCCCGAACAGACCCCGCTAAGTATTCCAGTACAAGTACAACGATGTCTGTTGATCCTCCGCAAGTTCAGGATTTCATGGCTTTTGCTTGAATACCCCAGCTTTCGAAATCTATCCGTACGTGGACTTTGTATTTGGATTAATCTTACGTACTCCCCTTGACTTCGAGTCTCAAGATCTCGAGTAAACAAATGCCGCCTTGGGTACCTGAAATTTCCGGATGGACTTGTCCGTCATCCAGCACGCTTTGGGAAGGTGATGAAAACAAGATGCCTCCCACGCAGGCACACCCACTGAGGCGATCGCCTTTCCCCGCCTACCGCGACTCTTTAGACGACTTGGCGAATAGCAGATCTTATAACGAGAATGCGATCAAAAAGGTTGGATTACTCACAATTGTTTACATTTCGACTGCTTTGCCACATGACGGCCTCTAGATATCTCGGCGCTTGGCTCGGCGATATGACTAGGAAACCAACCATCGCGAGTGTCGCTTACTAAATCATCTGTTGGGTAGACATTGTATCATTTTTTGATGGTTTGCTTCCTCCCAAGCCGTAATAATCATCAGTCATACTCACCGATCCCGAGGAGAAGGGTTGTCCAGAAGGACCTGCCTTGAGATCTCGAAGACGAAAAGTTGACGATTTCCAAACGATCGCCACGAAAACTAACAAGACCAACCTGAATAGAGACACTTATGAGAAATATCTCATGGTAGTCTCACCTGAGGCTGAAAACAAAGATCCCAGTAGCATGGCAAGCACACTGCACGGGTTGTTGCAGCCATGCATGTTCAAGAAGAACCCTTGCCATGGTTACACTTTCCAACAGACAAGCCAAGATAAAGCCGTTGGTTTTCAAAGCCTCTTACAGAAAAAACTCGCTACAAGGATATGGTCGAGCCCGGATATACCAAGGATATAAACGAGGATATCCTTATAGCGAGTTCCTTGGCGTAGGCGACAGTAAGGTTATATATTTGACTATTAGGAATATATAAGTTAGTCACTTATACAAGAGTAGTACTGTACGTATAATTGTATATCCTTGTCTAGACGACCTCCTTTTTAACTAAAAATACTAATATTTTATTTAGAACTTACTTAGAATTACTTATATCCGATAAATCCCTTAGAATTAGGAGGTTCTAAGGATAAAAACGAGGATAATTGTTACGGAGTTGGAGGAACTAGGGGTTGATCACGTGTAGCGCAGCATGTAGTATGTGTCACGTGCGCGCTGCTGGCATCCTGTATTTAAGCTCTCGTTCCTCTGGAACTCTCTTCCTTCCTCACTTTGTTGTTCGCTCAATACAGCAGTTTCCGTTTGACTCCGTATTCATCACAGCAAGCAGTGGTTCACTCCACACGGTTACATTACAACAAAGTCACCTCTTCGCCTGGGAAGGCCTGTTATAATATCCCACTTTGTTTATTTGTTTTTGGCTGACGA